TGAAAGTACAGTGTACATGTGCATGTATTATTGTCGGGACTGTCACTAAGAAACAGGGGCCAGGGATTTCCCCTGGCGACTATGAGCATGAGCCCCAACTTCTCTCATAGGAAACAAAAGTAAAATACATATGTAGAACCAAAAGAACTTCCTAACTGTACAATTCCCCTCCTACTAATGACATTTAGTAAAATCTAACTAGTGGTCTATTATCAATGCTACGTTCTGATTGGTTGAGCTACTACAAGGCTATATGTTATAGCCCACTTGTTAGCGAAAAGTGCGGGCTTTTTGGCGGCAAAAAAGGATTGAAGTCTAGCTTTTACTAGCTAAAATTTTTTTATTCTACAAATTTTTGACCAACTAGTTGGATTTTACTAAAAGAATCATTCCTCTCGGCCTCATGGCCTCTGAGTCAATAGCCCATTCGGCCGTCAGCCTCATGGGCTATTGACATCAGAGCCCATTGGGCCTCGAGGAATAATTGTTAAGTACCCAAAAACTTTACATGTATGCTGATGATGAGGTTCATAAAAAAGATCTCTTGTATTTCATATACTGTACTCAGTCTCCCAAAAATGTATTGTCCTTTATACATGTGTATTCAATTGTCATTTGAGGGGTTCATTTGAACCCAGGAGTCACTTCATAAGTAGGTACAATATGATTGTCGGGGTGAGTGTTGTCATGAATATAATAGGACTGTTGCTGACTCCGACAAAGATGATCCTGGGTTATCCTTTATCCCAATTCTGTTTTGAATCACTCTGGCCAATTGATATTGTACACTATTAAGTGGTCTATTTTTTCTCATATTTCTAGTTATGACACCACGATGGAGCAACTTTCTGTCATCAAACAGCTTATGGAGCTGTACATTATCCAAGATGATGAGTTTCATTATGGTTCAGTGATGCTTGAGTTTGGTGTGGCACTTCATGACCTTGGAGACAAAGATCTTGAGGAGGAGAAGTGAGTCTACTGCTTATGTGTGTTTTGGTTTAGTATGTAGCATTTTCTCTTACATTTATGTACATGTAAATGACTTTAGAGAAGCAAAAATATATTAAACTTAAAAATGCTCTTACTTGATCACAGAGTGTGACTTGTGGTAAAGGAAAAGGGACATTCAACCAGCTGTTTTGTTATAATGTCATCCAGGGTTATGGCCTTTAAAATTAGAAGCCAGTCACTCTTAAGTATCAAGTGGATTGTAGGCTAAAGAATTTTGATTTTAAATCCTTAGCAAGCTTCTTTGAAACCATTTTTAGTGCACTTACGAACAAGCAAGAACAACTGATTGTAAATGGAAGAGAATTTACAGTACTCTTAGCTGAACTTGGATTTCATTATGGCAGGATTTGTAATAAGGCTGGAAACTCAACAGATGCTTTGGCTGTGTTTGATAAACTGTTGAAATTGCAGGAAGTGAAAACCATTGAAAAAATGGACATTTTAAACTACAAATACCTTCACAGGTTTGTTGTTGTGTGTGTTTAGTCTGGAAAGCAGCTATTTTGTTGAACTCTACCATAAAATCTCAAACTCAAGAATCTCTTCTGCAGATGTTACTTGAAAGTAACCGGCTATTCTCTCAGGTGCTGAAGGATTTGCAAGAAAAGGAAGAAAGATTGAGACAAAAAGCAAGGAAAATTAAAAATGCAACCATAGAAGCCAAGCGGGTGGCTGCCCAACTACAGCTAATGGCAGGACAGCTAGGCCGCTTGGCCAGCCACATTTTGGCAGAAGCCAAAAAGTAAAGAGATATAAGAAAGAAATTAATACACCAGCATGAATTATGTGTAAATTTATTGTACAAATCGTTTTTTTCGGTAATAAAATAGTATACAAAGTTCTTAGTAGTTGTGTCCTAAGTCGGACCTGTAATGACATATATAGCATTAATAAACATATTTCTCGCATCCTGTATGATCTTTTCCTTTTCCACCGTATCCACACCTATGCCTCCGTCCTCCGCTTTCCTATACTACACCACTATCTTTGTGAAATCTATCAGCCCATACTGGATCTTTACAGGCTTCCAACTGGCGGGCAACCCCTCCACCTTACACAGCAAGTATTCCTCACCACCATGCACTAGTATCTGTCCTCACCATGCACAGAGTTTTCCCGCTCAAGGAAGCACTTTATTTTGAAACCTGTCAGATAAAATTAAATTAAATAAAAGAGATTAATAGATATACAAAAATCCAGGTATAGAAAATAAATAAATATAGAGAATATAACCCCGAATTACATGTTAACATCTCTATAAATATAGACATTATTATCACTAAAATCCCATATCGCGTATTCAGCATCTCTTAGATCTGGTATTATAATGTTTTCCACACCAACTGCCTAACCTGCACCACAAACTTATCCCGCCCCCCTCCCTCCCCCACTAGCAAGAAAAATATACAGCCCTTTATTTTTACAACTTTAAAACTTCAGATGCATTAACAAAATAATTTAAATACAAATTTCTCTTCTGGAGTCA